ATTGCAACCAGAACACCTCTCTCTTCCATGACGACAACGCTCTTAAATGCGACACGTCTCACCAGTGCATAAGGTTGGATCTTTGGTGGCGACACCAACGGCAGCACATCGAGACCTTGGGAGTGACATAATAACAAGTAGTGGGGAGAGAGGAATGTGCCGTTCGTGGGAGCAGTGAATTGATGGGATGGGAGGTCCCCAGTTAAGACAGAGAGCGATAGTCCCAACTCTGCAAGTGTTGGTGACTCAAACGCGGGAGGGAGGGGCTCGGATAGCTTCGGAAGGGGTGAACTAGGGACACTTGACGCCAATGCCCTCGTAGGAGAGTGAGACCTGACGGATGTGGAATTCCGGGGGGGGATTTGGTAAAGTGTTTGAGGCTGCCTCTCGTTCTCGTAAATGAAGAAGATTGGAAAAGAACCCGGACAACCGATGATTTGCAGAAGACTGATGGGAATGATCTTAGCAACTGAGCATTAGGAAAGAATAAAATGTTCCTTACATCCATTGCCGATCTTCTTCGACTAGCTCGGCGATCAGCCGCCGACATATTTGATGGTTCCAGCGAACGATGGACCTCCGACGAGACCATGGGGTTAGGGGGTGCACCCGGTGTTAGTGGAGACGAGGGAACAACCGATATGGCAGGGGTATGCTCTGTACCAGACAGAGTAGATTGGTGAGGGCGAACAGGCTGAGGAATGCCTTCATGGGTCAAATCCTGCTGACTTTCATGAGGATTAGGGGCCGCAGAGAAGCTTCTTTGATCACTTGGTTGGCCTGGAGGGGCGTTGGAAACAAGAGGTAAGCAGTCGGCTGCAGGCGTGGGCTGGCTCTCCTTAGTTTGGTGGACCTCGGAGACTGTTTTTGGTTGATGTGTCATATTAGAAAAAGTGTGATCATTTTGAGGTTTGCTGTATGCCTCCAAACGCGAGTTGTGTGAAATTTCAGAAACCGAGACGCCCACCGGCTCAGGCTGGCCTTCAACGCTTTCGGTTAGCACTTGCTCAACATTAAGTGCACTCATGGAGAACAGTTGTGAGCACTGTTCAGTGGGCCAAAGGTCCTGATATCCCGAGAGTGGTCACGACGGTCAGGAACAACCTGCACTCCGACACCCATTGACCCCTTTCAGAATGCCCTCTGCGCTTCCCGACTATTATACTTTATTGGGGTTAGATGATAAACGCTGTACAACTGAGGCTATTCGAGCGGCCTATAAACGCGAGAGCCTGAGGTTGGTTTTCATTTGTAAACACAAAAGCCCTTGGAGCTAAAACGCAATGGTTAAGAACACATCCAGATCGTATTCCAACTGCTTCACCAGAAGAGAGAAGGGTATGTTTTCGGTGACAGACGTGGCCACAGCACCCACTGACATAATGCTCCCAGGCTGCTACGGCCAAGTTTCAAGCAAGTTATCACTATCATTCTCAAATATGGTATTAATGAGACAATTTAGGCAGTAGCTGATGCGTATTATGTCCTTTCGGATCCTGCCAGGCGGCGAGAATATGACGCACTACTTGCATCCCGTGCATATACGGAACGCTCCGCAGACGCTGATGCGAGCAATAATTTCTTCGCTAACTTTGCAAATATGTTTGCTGGTGCTGCTGCCGGCACCAACGCCCCACAGACTGAGAATAAGCCTGAAGACCTGTTTGGAGAACGGCCAGATCCAGACGCGACTTTTGGCAACGTATTCGACGAAGTAAGACTATTCATAGAAATTTGGAACCATAACTCAATCATTACAATAGCTCCTTCGCCCGGAAGTAGAGAGAATCGTACCATGGTGGACCATTCTCGGTGCTGCATCGTATGCATACCCTTAGATTAGACTCCTGGGTCTCTGACTTCTTCCTAGTGGCGCAACGCTGGGTTTCATCATTGCTAATATACCGGGAGCGCTCATGGGGGGCTTTGCCGGAAACCGTCTTGGTGCTATCCGAGATGCAAAAGGCAAAAGCGTCATGGCTGTATGTAACATTTCCAATCGCCGATATGGATATCTGACTTGTTTTCTAGGTCTTCAACACTTTGGCTGCTGACCAGAAAGCCGAGATTCTCAAGAGCCTGGCTTTCAAAGTCCTTGGCTCCATGTGAGCAACTGTAGGCACCTTTTCACGCTGTGTCTCAAGAATTCTACACATTTACATAATATTCTGGATCTCCAATTTTGGTGATGGTATTGATTTGGACCCATCACCTACTCTTTCCGGTACCTTGTATCGCAGTTCGAATGCCTCTAACTCTTGGGAGCCTAAATTATCTGGTATCAAGCATCTATCTGCCTCAGAGTGCTCTCTGCGAGCTGTTCGTCTTCAAGGTTCATACAATAGTTTTCGCTCTCATACAAGAATGTTTAGTACTTGCTCAATATATACCGGTGAATCGGCGCATTCGTAAACAATATTTTTGATATTCAAATGTGCTACCAGACAATGAAATACGACGAAAATTAGAGGTTCTATTAGATTATAGATAGGCTGGATCGACAAGACAAATGTCGCTCTACAACCAGCAACGAAGGGCAGAATCAACCCCAAGATACATACAATTTGAACAGGCGTGGCCGACGACAAATTTCATGAATAAGGACAAGAAACAAGAAGCTTGATGGGATGCAAGGGAGATTCCGTTCAGAGCGCAAAAGACGATTTTCCACGCATAACAAAAGAAAAGGAGAAGATCCACTCAATTTTTAGGCGGCATCCGACTCAATATCTACAACTAGGTCTTCGCCGTGGTCTTCTAGGGAATCGGTTTCACTACCGTTCGCAGTGACCGTTGGGCTGTTAAGGAAACTCCCAGATCCTGACGCAGCTCCAAAATGCGGATGAGTTGGGTGGCGATCGTTTCCAGAAAAAGAGCCAGGGATGTGGAATCGATCGGAAACCCGCCCGAGGCGCTCTTGAATCCAGTTGGTGAACTTGCCTCGAACACGGCGACATTCCTGTACATCGACCATCTTGATCCTAGAAGGGAGACCAACGGCCGGGGTACCAGATGGACACATTGCATTCGGAGTCGTTGGGTTACGAGCTTCAATGAGTCTCCTCAACGCCTCTTCGCGGACATAATGAGCTCTACGAAGAACCACTACTTCCAGAGACGGCAGGGCCCACGTCCTATAAGGCCGAATCCACGAAGATGTACCAGCAGTCGGCATCGATAGAGATAGGAAGAAGTTGTCGTCCACTTCGGACTCGTGGAATTCTAGCCGTTTGATAGACTTTAGAGAAAGGCCCGTGGTTCCAGACACCAGGCGACAGTTACGAAGTTGAAGTGTGTGTAGAGGAGGGTTTGATCTCAAGTCGAGCACATTTAATGTTCGCATGAGCATAAATGCGTCGACATCATTGACTTGCAAAGTGTTCAGGGATGGGACGAGGAGATGTGGGAGCAATGCTAATACCATAGCATTACCGGAGAGTGTGTGAAGACGCTCCAACTTGAGGGGGGCAGTTCGCGACCGACCCGGTGGATCAAAGTCATGATCGACGGGCAGTCTCAAGGTCAACATTTCTAAATCCTCGCATCCGTCCAGAACACTCCACAAGTCCACCATCCTTTTGATGCGTCCAGATACGAGTGTGAGTGTCGTGAGACCCCGTAAGAAGGTTGCAGTCGGCCACGCCTGTGTATAAAGCATCACATGCTTAAGTTTCGGTGCGGGCCCGAGTGTCAAGGTCTTGCAGGGTAGAAGTCGTCTATTCCTTCGAGTTGCTGGCGTTTCTGACTCCCTTACATAAAACTTCTCTAGGTGTGGGGCCGCGCCGACTGAAAGCCTCATGCAGATATGTACACAGTCGTCCAGATTGGTTTCCAGGTCGAAGTATTTCCATCGGGAGATTTGACTGGCCAGGACCTTCATGATTTCCTCAAAGATAGAAGTCGAGTATCGCACGGCACTCTCCACCGCCCGGTAGCGGATATCCAGGGCTCCCCCGGTGCCAGTTCTTTCGACCCATAGACGAGTTATTTGAAGCTGGTCTGTTGGTTGCAAATGTGATGGTATGACGACTTTACACCATAAACGAGGATACGCCAAGGCTGCGACTCTCCAGTCAAAGCAAACGGAAGAGAGCTTCCAAACGGCATACACATCCTCATCGGCGCAGTATGCGAATATTTCTGCCAATGTCTCAATGGGGAGATATAGCGCGGGTTGTAGGCGATTTTTATCTCGGCATATCTGCGCTTGTAGAGCAGCTCGCTGGGAGAGAAGCGATCGGTGCTTCTCCTGTGCTGCAATAACTGCGGCATATGCGGCGATCACCTGCTCGTCCAGAAGAGATAAATGCATCTGACGAGTATGAATGGAATCCTCGGCGATTGATCTCTGGCTTGCATTGGGAGGTCTGTCAAGAAGCAACACCCGGTTGGGAGGGGATGATGCATTCGAACAGAAGTCATACTGATCGGAAGACGTCGAGCTAGTCCTGTAAATCGTTTGGTGACGACCTTATGCAAAACGAGAGCACTCACAAGCATCGAGGATGAATTGGGCGCATCGGAATTGGCGAAATCTCGCCTCTATGGATGAACGCTAAATCAACCCAGATTCATATGACGATATAAAACGACCTTACATGTTGTTTATGTATCCTTGTAAGGAATAAGAGGAAGATGCTGGGGATGATTGCCGGGTCGGGTGACCGCTGTCGGACATCTGAACAGGCGGAGAAAATCCAGGTATATCTCCACTAGTACTGGTGGATTCTTCCTGCGTAAGACCAGAGAGTCCTACGATAGCACTTGGTGGGGCGCTGCGTGAGACGTGCTCATGGCTATCAAGTGGGTCATTAGCCAGGCGGATGCGGTTCGGTGGCTATAAAAGGCAACTGACTCTTCAACATTCTGACGAGCCCAGGATGACGAAAGTGATTGCCATGGATGCTGATCCATGGGTAAAGAGCGGCCAATGAATGCTTGAACAGGGGGGCTGAAAGGGGGGAAAATGGAGGACGGATTGCCAGAATGTTAGCAATATCCAAGCGAAGAATATCGAGTATAGCTCACAAGAGGGGAAAAAATGCTCGTTGATGATTGCTACTAGAAGCTGAACTTGTGCACTGGGGCAATGCTGCACCGTCCATGTAGATGGACGATTTCCTGGCGAAGACGAACGGAGAGAAACAAAATAGAGAGGATGAATCTAAGCTGAAAGACCAAGTTGGTGACCACTGGGAGAGAGTCGGTAAAGATGGGAGTCAAGTGCGACAGCAATAGAAAAGCTCATTTTAGCCAGTCATTCAAACGACTCCCCTTCTCCACCACCTGTCGGACCCTAAATGCGTCCTTTAACCGAAGATGAGAGCAAGCTCGTCTTCACGAAACTGGCCAACTATATAGTACGTGCAATTTTTACTTGCGTCCGTTTACCATGTTGATTGGTTGTCGAGGGCAAAAATTTGGTTCACCTCATCGACAGGGAGGATGAAGTGTACTGCTTTAGGCTTCATAAAGATAGAGTATACTACGTATCCGAAAAAGCAATGCGTCTAGCTGCATCTGTAGCTCGTCCAAATCTCGTTTCCCTGGGTACTTGCTTCGGCAAATTTTCGAAAAGTGGCAAGTTCAAGCTACATATCACATCCCTTGATTACCTAGCACAATATGCTAAATATAAGGTATTTGTTCCTTTTGATGAGGTATGATGGGTTTATCTAACGTTTCGCTGTAGATATGGATAAAACCGAATGGTGAAATGCCCTTCCTGTACGGAAACCATGTCGTCAAGGCACATCTGGGAAGAATTACAGAGGATACTCCCGAACATCAGGGTGTTGTAGTGTTCAGCATGAACGATACACCCCTGGTAAGTTTTCTCGATGAACCTTTCCGACATTGCAATCACACATACGCAAATAGGGATTTGGGGTCACTGCAAGATCAACATTAGATACAAGAAAATTAGATCCAACTGCAATCATTGTGTTCCATCAGGCGTAGGTCTCTGTGTTTACGGTTTCAAATTCTTCCTGACATGTGTGTATAGTGATGTGGGCGAATATTTACGTGATGAGGTGCGTAAACAGAGAAAATTTATTCTCAAAACTGATTGTTTCTGTAGGAGACTCTCTTCTGAGCAAATGGTCAAGTTGCTTGATTGGGTCAACATGGCACATCATCATTTCTGTGAGGAATTGAGTGCAAGATCAAAAGACGGGCTTTCAATCCGCTATGATAATTATTTTGAGAGTATTATATGCGGGTTACTTTGTCACCATCCCATCAAGGGAGGCACGATGTAGATCGAGTACATTGAAGAGGAGATATTTCAATAAACTTCTTTATGTGAAAGGGAGTGCGCATAAAGAGACTTACTCAATAGCAAACAGAGTATAATGTATACTAGGAAGCAACGCCTCACAGGTAGCTACGATAGTGATTATGTGACATGGCCATCCGCTCGTATCAGTTTACTTTATCACTTGGGACGATGAGGAATGATAAATTACATCTTGGTCCCATCGAAGGTCGCAGGAGTGGCGAATCACGTGACATGTATACCTTCACCCGCACGCTAATCCTTCATGTGTGGTAGATTCTCGTTAGGCGCAAATCGCGAGGAGATAATCAATCAACTCGTTCAAGATGGCATCCTACCGCAACTAGACGAGCAGGAATGGCTAGACAGAGATGATTTTTATCCTCGCTACAACATTGCACCTCGCTCTAGAGCTGCCGTCATCCGACGAAGATACGGCCCGCCTACTGAAGACACCCATAATAACATGTCACTGGATGTTGCCGACAATCTCACCCATAACGAAGGCTCCAGAAAGTCGCCGGCGATGACAGAACCGGCCTTAGGGACCGTCATCCAAACCATGCGCTGGGGATTAGTGCCACGCTATGCTAAGGCAGATCTCCCTTCTGTGACTACCAATACAATCAATGCCCGAGTTGAGTCTATTCTAGAGGGAAATAGGGCTTGGGCGTCAGTGGTAAATACCCATAGATGTGTGGTTATATGTGACGGGTGTGTATAGACAGTTGACTGTCAATTCTAAAAGTTGATCTGACTTCTCGAACATTTAGGTATTACGAATGGCTAACGAAAGGCAAAGAGAAACTTCCACATTTTATTCGCAACCCCAACGCCTCAAAGAAGCTATACATGGCTGGAATGTGGGAAGAAGTTACCTTTGAAGGTGAGATAATTTGTATCAGATTGGGAAGTCGCATTTCTAATCTCACAAACAGGCACCGACAAACCCCTCTTTACCTTCACAATTGTTACGGTTCCTGCTCGCGATAGCATGACCTGGTTACACGACAGAATGCCTCTTATCTTTTCTCCCAACTCTAGTACCGATATGGAAAACCTGAATATGTGGTTGGATACAGACAAAGCTAAGAATCGTGGCTCAGACATCCATCATTTCCTCCAGGGTTATTTGCATAATTCCGGCGAGGAATCTCTTACTATATATCAGGGTAAATATCCATATAAATTTTATCTATCTTTCAATTAATTATTCCCTTGATCGACAGTACCAAAGGAAGTAGGCAAGGTTGGAAAAGAATCTCCTTCATTTATACAACCGGTGCAAGAACGCAAAGATGGAATCAGAGCTATGTTTGCCAAACAAAAGCAGGCTACCTCATCGGAGAGTACCAGCGCGATCGAGAAACCTAACACCAGCAATCATGCGGATGCAGAGACCTCCCAATCGTCGTCTGAATCTCGTTCGACCACAAAACGACAACGAACCATGTCTCCAGATAACAACGATGCACATGCTGAAGGTAGCTCACGGAAAAAGATAAAAATTGACACCCCCTCCCCGCCACCGAAAGTAGATGAGGTAACTCAAGGTAACTCCCCAGCGAAACGCAAACCTCCTGTCTCGCCGAGAAAGAAGGGTGGAACTGGATCACCATCCAAGAAAGATGCAGCCGGTACCAGGAGTATCATCGAGTTTTTTCAACCTAGTCCACGAAAGACAGACCGTGCATGAGATGTAATGTTGTAATATAGACAATCCATACCCTTTGTACATAAACAAGGTTCTGTGACTATCAGCTACATATCAGTGAGACAGTAGGCTAATCTCTCTGGCCCGAACAAATTGCCTCCCTATTGGATTGTCAAACGAATGCCGGAGTGCAATGGCATCCTTAACCCATAAAAAGGTATATACGTCGGTATACTTACCAAAGGAGATAACAGAGGCACCGTAGAAATACCGCTTCATTTTCTGGCGTAAGTGACCTGAACCAAAAGGTTATTATAAAGGACAGAATTACACGTATAACATTCACACACCTTTATCTTCCCTTCTCCAAGTTTGGAATTGTGGAGAGCATCTTTGGCAACTGTAGCGCTCCCTTCATCGGCGTATTCGATAAAAGCGATATCCTTTTTCTGTGGAATCATACGAATTTCGTAGAAATTCTCGAATCTATTGATTATGGATTGAAAAGCACCCGAGATGAATAAAATCATTAGTATCAGACGGGTGAGTACGTACGGAGAAAATAGGAGCATAAGTGCTTCCTTCGTGATGTCTTGAGGCAGGTTTTGAACGAAGAGAATCTTATTAGGAGGCAAGTACTCGTCAGGCATTTGCACTGTGGGCCTTCTGGGTCCAGCGGCCCCAGTGTCTGGCATAACACCTGTCGCAAGAGCATCCTTCTTCATCTTGAGCTTCTTTCGAACCGGATTGTCCCATCGAGATCTTTTCTTTTGTTTGATTCGTTCCACATGAAACGCCTCGAATTCGGCAGGGGACAGCGCCTTCACGACTGCCTCTGAGCGTGTCTTGGCAAACGTGATTTGCATGGGTTTTCCGTAGAGGGGAAATTTGTTCACTTCTTTCATAGCCTTCTGAGCGACATCCGTGGTAAGAAACGATACAAAGGCCTGTCCACGCATCCGGAGATTACGATGGGCGACCACATCGACGACTTTACCATAATGACGGAAAAGATTATTTAAAGTCGCTTTCATATCTAATTTTACTATCAGAACGAGTCATAGATGGTGATTCGAGACTCACATGCTAGTTTGACTTTATCGTTGAGATTTTGAATATACAAAGTTTCGGATGCCTGTTCCTCCTCTTCGGGCTCTTGTGAGGTCGCTTTTTCGGGGGTACCTCCTTGTTTAAAATCGGCCTGTTGGGCCTCCTGAGAGTTATCTTGGGCGGTGGCTGCTTCTGACATGGATGGAACTGGAGCCAAGTTTGCTTTCACCACTTGGACCACACCAGTTCATGGAAGCAAATGGCTTTATTTATGGCGATGATCCAAATGACGTTGGTTAAGATAATTTTGAGAAGAATACAGTTACTTATTATTTATAGCAACGTCAACCTTCCTTTCAGCGGCGAATGGAATTGAGCCAGCGGCAAAGAGCCCTCACCTCTGAATTACAATCTATTGAAGAAGACATCACAAGATTACAAGTACTCAAGCGTGACCTAAACGTAGAATTGCAGAAGGTTAAGCAAGAGCTCGAGACTCATACCACCGCTGGCCATCACAATGCTTTGCCACTCAACAATGGTGCCTCCGGTGGACAAGCTGGAAAAGAAAGAAATAACACAAATGGACACTCTTCTCACAATAAAGTTGGCCTCGTTGACTACTTTTCGACGTTCGAATGGTCGGGAGAGCTCAGAAAGCGGATGCAACAAGTGTTTGGATTTGAGCAGTTTAGACTTTGCCAAGAAGGGTGAACTCTGTCGCTATATGAGTTATATCATACTAATTATCGGCCCATTCAGAATCTGCAACGCTTCTATGGATAATCGAGATATCGTAGCTGTAATGCCCACAGGTTTGGTTTGTTAAATTATGTATCCGGTCCCAGTGGTTTTGACGCAACAAATAGGTGGTGGGAAATCCCTTACCTACCAACTACCAGCACTGCTCTGCTCTGGAACTACGCTTGTGATTTCCCCCTTGATATCCCTCATTACCGATCAAATCCTCCATCTACACGAAGCTGGTGGTAAGCAAATATCTTTACACGAGAGGGTTCGAAAATTGATATCACGATCCGCAGTGGAGGCATGTATGCTTACAGGAGCCGCCTCGAAGGAAGAGCAACGTAGTATTTTACAACGACTGGTGCAAGGTTCGAGCAAAGGGAAAGGTCCAGTAAATCTAAATGGAGGACTGAATGAGATCAAATTAGTGTACGTAACGGTACGTTTGCAGTGCTGCACTTGATGTCTTTACTCACAACCTCTCATGTAGCCCGAGAAAATTGCTAAAAGCAAAACGTTCCTCTCGACATTGCAAAAAATGGCGAACAACGGCACATTGGTCCGAATAGTCATCGATGAAGCCCACTGTGTCTCCCAACTTGGCCATGACTTCCGGCCGGATTACCAAAAGTTATCCATTCTCCGGCAATTGTTCCCCCACGTGCCAATCCTAGCCCTCAGTGCTACATGTCCACCAAAAGTGCTCCAAGATCTCCTAAAAACACTCAGAATGGACTCCGTAGTCGATGGAAACAGTACGTAACACCGGTCCTACTAGGAAACCTCACTTATCTTGACCGAATGTAGGCGCACCTGCAAAAGGCACCGTATACTTTTCGAGTCCTCTTTACCGTAAGTTATACTTTGAAATTTTTATTCCATTATCCTCATGTTTACAGGCAAAAATCTACACTATAGGGTCGTCCAGAAGCCTGCCTCCGCCAGTGATGTGATTGACGTCATGGCCAAATACATTACCGAAGAGCATAATGGGCATACGGGTATAGTCTATTGCCTTAGTAAGAAGGTGTGTCTCTCTTAAGGATATTCCCTAAGCGGCTCATTAAATTGGTGCGCCTCATCATACAAAGGATGCGGAAACAGTCGCTGCAGGCCTACAAGACGTGTCCAAGGGCAAAATTCGTACCGGTGTCTATCATGCCGACATAGGCGACGCCGAGAAGGAACGGCTACACAAGAAATGGAGGAAAGGGGAGGTCAAAGTCGTTTGCGCAACTATCGGTATTTATCACACACATTCCTTTCAAGGAGTTCTGAAGTTTTTGAGCAACTCCTATTAGCTTTTGGTTTAGGTATAGATAAAGGAGATGTTCGCTTTGTCCTCCACCATTCAATGTCGAAATCCCTTGATGGGTTTTACCAAGAAAGTGGCCGCGCAGGGCGTGATGGCAAGGATAGCGATTGTATTCTTTATTACAGGGGACAGGATGTGAGTCGTCTGTCTGCACTGGTCTGTGGAGAGCGGGAAGGTCAAACAAAACGTAGGATTTAATTCCAATTTCTCTCTGGCCTACACTGAAGTTTCATAGTGCATGATATGTTACGATTTGCCCAGGACCTACAAGAGTGTAGAAAATTACAATTCGCCAAGTCAGCCCCAACCATCCGTGTTTGATAGGTACTCGTCTCACAGCATCACAGATATTTCTCTGCGTCGTCTTCACTTTCTTTGTCCGCTTGGAGTGCCGAGGGGTCCGAGACTCTTTCACCCTGTGGGCACTGCGACAATTGTGCTCGTGCTCAAGATTCACTCGATAGCAGGGACGTTACAATTGAGTCGTGGAAAGTTGTGAAGATAGCTAGGACAATTGAAACGGGTGGTGGCAGGGTCACTCTTGGAATGCTCTCTGATCTTGTACGAGGGGCAGGGGGCGGTGCGTTTGAAGTTGGTGGGGGTGGGAGAGGTAAAAACAAGGATAAGGTCCGATTGGATTTGGATGACGTCTGTGGTGGAAAGGTAGAGCTTCATAAGGACGTGAGTATACTCTTGCCACGCTTCTCATCATGCGGGGTTGACAGTGAATCCTTATCTAGGACGTGGAAAGTCTTCTTATTACACTCCTCCTTTTGGGTTACCTGAAAGAGGAATACGTAACAAATGCGTATGCTATCAATGTCTATCTAGTCCCCGGTCAGCAGGCCCTACGGCTTTCCCGGCTTTCAAAAGACGACATTGAAAGTGGCAAGGGCCCTCGAATTGTGACTGCCTTCCTCAAAAGGGAAAAGACCAGAAGGATAGCCACAGCCCCCGGAAAGAAGAGGTCGTCAAAAACGTCAGACTTTGTTCCACCAACAC